AGGGGTGTGTGTGTTTGTTTGTGTATGTGTATGTGTGTGTGTATGTGTGTGTGTTTGTGTGTGTGTGTGTGTGTGTGTGTGTGTGTGTGTGTGTGTAAGGGCGTGTGTACGTGTGTTTTGTGTGTGTTCGTATGTGTGTGTATGTGTGGAGAGGTATTGTGTGTGTTTGTGGGTGTAATAGTGTATGTATGTGTGCGCGAATGTGTGTATGTAGTGTATGTATGTGTGCGTTGGTGTGTTTATGTGCCATATGCATGTGTGTATATGTGTGTGTTTGTATGTGTGTAAGTAGGGCAAGGGGTAGAGGGGGGGGGGGGTTGGGCGATGAAGAAAGAGGGCTGGTTAGTAAGCTTTTAAAGACGAAGTTAATTATTATCAACTTTGCAGCGGTCTAGACTGCTAAATTTGTTATTAACAGTATCATGTACATGTATACTGGCTAAAGATTTTATAGATATATGGTGCAATATCTGAAATTTAGAGGCTTGAATACCTCGAAAAAACATGTCTTTAACACCAGTATACCAAATTTCCTCAATACCAGCTATAATAATATGATGCCGCTCAAAATAAAACAAAAATAATTCTGAACACTTAAGTAAAACAACGTATTCTGTATAGTTGTGTTATCTTTTAGATTTAGCGGCATGCGAAGTGCTTATTCTTAGTCATCTCGGTCCTGAAAGTTACTTAAAATTGAAGCGGTCAGAAAAATAAAAAGTCACAGTCACCTTGAGGTCGTTTAAAGGGGAAAAACAACTGGACCTAATCATGCTACTGCATTTGGGTGAGTATTATGTTGTTTAGTTTCCCACGACGTATGTCGCCATACAAAGATCTGTATTTATAGCCAAATGTGACTTACATTCTTTGATTTTCTGACCCCTTCAAGTTCCTATTAGTGAAGAGTGCTGACAAAATGAGAAATGTCTTGCAATCCGAGAATGGCGATATCGCCCGAAAATAGATACCGGGATCAGATTTTCAATGGACGCCATTTTCTTCAAGTCTACTGTGTCTTTTTTTATTCCATACTTACAAATTGTGTAAACTATATCTATAAAGTTTTCTCCTTTGGGGGCGGGGGTGGTGTATGGTTTGTTTGTTTTTTGGGGTTTTGTTTTGTTTTGTTTTTTAACCTTGACCCACCATGTTGTCGGTGACTTCCTGTTTCCACAAGTAGGCGGAGCTTCCAGAGAGCCCGTGCGAAGAACGGAAGTGAAGGGAATAGTCCGTCGGAGGAGCGCAGAAAAGCCTCAACAGTGACAGGACAGAACATGCGATGCTCCTTATGCTGTCGCAGTCTGGAGAAAAGACACACACTATTAATTTTATTTCAGAAATAAAAAAGAACCGCTATACGCCCTGTCAAGAAGTTTATCATTTCACCGTTGAAAGTGTTAGGTTGGTTCAGCTGTTCTCTTCTTTTGCACTGTGACAAGAATAAAGCCAGTCAATTCTTCAAGTCTTTGTGAACTCGTGTCGTTTGAATTTTCATGACTTTTCGCCAATCTGGGCACGATCGTATGGGTCCAAGGGAGTTTCTCAAATGTTTCATATCTCCTGTACCTTTTATATGTCGATAAAACCGTAAGACCACAACCATAATGTGACTCCACCACCATAACAACTAAGAAGAGGGGACGTTCAGGCACGGAAATGAAACAGTGTGTCCATTTTTTAAAATCTCAGAAAACAAAGACCATAGACATAGATAAGATATACGACAAAAGAGGCATTGGCTGTTTTATAAAAATTGAACGGTTTTTTAAATGCTTCTTTAGCAAATACACTCCTTGGGTGTATGCTTTTTTGTCTATCAAGACAAAAGGTGTTTGCTTTTCCTGTGTCTTTCGGCACCTCATTTGGGGGGTGTATCTGAAGGTAAGCAACTTTATAAACAAAGACAGCATACCTGGAATACCTGAAGGTGTCATCTCTGAGTCAGAAGTTGACTTGTAATGATCCTCCATCCTTCACGGTCGCGAGCCGCCGTTGCACTTCCCGCTACCCACAGGCCAGTCCATGTTTTAACCTTGTCCATCCATGTTAGTCCTGCCCCACTTCCTTCCTTCAAACACCTCTTTTACAATGGTCTGGTGTGTAAAGTGTTGTATTTTTCGACATTTTAATTTATAAAGCTGGGTTTATCTTATGTGAAGAATCTGACACACCTCATTGTTCGTCTTCTTTTCCCAGCTAATTCTGACAATTCTGTATGACATACAGCATTACTTATCGGAGAGAAAAAAGAGGCTAGGGCGGGTTATGAGAACATTTAGAAACAAAGAGCCAAAAAAACAACAACAGGAATCCTGTCTACAGTGGAGTCCACTTAAAACCAAATCAACTGGACTACCGGGTTTTTTTCGGTTTAGCCGTGTTTTCAGTTTGGAGAGATTGCGCAAATAGCAAAAGAAAAAAAAATCGGAGATTGTGCTTTCTTTCGGTTTACCACTTTTTTGTAATTCATTGAGTTCGGTCTAATAAGTGGATTCCATTGTATTTCATTTCGAATGTAATCATTTTCTTACCATGATCTTTCTGCTGTCTCTCTATACCAACGCATGGTGTCTGCCGTAAGACTGGAGCAGCATACGTCACAGACATAATGCAGAGAAGGAGGAGAGCTGATATCAAGCTCTTCATCGTAGGAAGCTTTTGTGTTCTGACCTGAGGAGTGGGAGAGTGGTGAATCAGTAAGTCGGTCATGGAAGTCCGAGGTGGGTGACATATTATAGCGGGGGGGG